ACCCTCCACCCTGGCCTGTTAGCGATGCCCTCCTAGCAAGGCCTCCCACCACCTCCACGTTCCTCCTCCCCATTCTCTTTGCACCGACCATGGCGCTGAAGCCCCACATGGAAGCTCACCTTGCTGGCCAGGTTCTGGGGCTGCCCAACAGGGCCTGAGGCGTCCAGGGAGGGACATGGAGCCTCCTCAAGGCCGGGGGCCTCCCCAGTGGAGAGCAGCACCCAGAACTGACGGTGAGGCTGGTGAGGCCCCTCCTCCCTGTCTGCTCTACGGCTCCCAGCCCCCAGCTCTGACAGGGCTTTCCTGTCTCCTCTGCCCCAGGCCCTTGCCCTGGAGCTGCCCAGCTCTCCAGGCCTACCTGGGGTCCCTTCACTGACCTCCATGGATGAGGATCGGCCAGAGAGCCTCAACTCTGTCCGAAGACCTCCTGCCTGTGACCTCCCACTCCACTCCCCACACTCAAGCCGGAGCAGCTGGCCAGTGCCGCCTGCTAGGAGGTGAGTGCCTCCTCTGCGGGTGACTCTGGGAGGGCCCTGGAACAGGTGCCAATCTCCCCAAAACCTGGCCCTGGTGATAAGCATGATTATGCTGCGGGGATCCGGGCCCAGGGGCTGGACCTGGCAGATTCTCCCTTGCCCAACCGTTACCTCTCGGGGCCCCTGAATGCCAGTAGAATCAGCCCAGGAGTTGGCGGGCCCACCCTCACCCTGGGGCCCCATCCCCGCCGCCTTCCTGGGCCAGGGGCGTAGTCACTGGCGAGGGCAGCAGCTGGTTCACAGGAGCCCTGAGCTCCAGGCAGGGGCATGCAGGCCAGGGGAGGGGCGGGCTCCACCCTACCCGGGGACCTCAAGGCTGGTTCCTGCGCCTGGCCTGGGCCTGCCAGCGTCATCCCTACCAGGACACTGCCAACCCCAGGGCCGGGCTTTCCCGCTGCACAGAGGGGAGACTGAGGCCTTGGGGCCGAGCCCAGGGGAGCTCACAGGGGCAGCCAGGAAAAGCGACGCCAACACCTGTCCCGACCCCCCCACAGGTGCTATGTCTCTTCCTCCTGGGATCCCCCCACCCCACCCTGGCCCTGCCCTCCTGCAAGGAGGAGGAGTACCCGTCGGGCAACGGGTGCTGCCCCAAGTGCAGTCCAGGTAGGCACAGCCCAGGCGCTCTTGCCACCCCTGCCCGGGGAATCCTCTCTTTCTGCTCCTACACCCCCGGTGGCCTGCAGCCCTGGCCCAGGGACACAGACCGCAAGGACCTGAGGCCCCTGGGGCAACCCCACAGCCCAGATGCGCCGCCCCGGGGGCCACGCTGCAATGCGGGAGAGGGGCAAGGTCCCAGGGTGGCGAGCTGGAGCCAGGTTGGGCGTCTCAGGACCCCCATCGTCTTCTAGGTCTTTCCGACTCCCCCCGCCTAGGTCCAGGCCTGGAAGACAGTGGGCAGTACGTGTCCAGTAGGGAACAGCGGGTGTCCCCCTGCTGGGTTCCACGTGGGAGTGGCGGGTGGGCTTTGCGGGGCTCCCACCGCCCTGAGAAGCTTCCCACCCTCCGAGCCTCAGGTTTCCACGTGAAGCAGGCCTGCGGGGAGCTGACGGGCACCGTCTGTGTGCCCTGCATCCTGGGGACATTCATTACCCACCACAATGGCCTGAGCAAGTGTCTGCCGTGCCGCGTGTGTGATCTCGGTAAGACGTCTGACCCCGCGGGCCCATCCTGCCCTGAGCACCAGGATGCCCAGCGTCCCTCTACAGGGCCACTCCCACCTCCACAGGACACCCTGCAGGGGACGCCTTCAAGGAAAACTTAGGCTTCTGTCCACACCGGTCTCAACCCAAGTGGGGATCAGTGTCCTCACCTGCCACATTGTCACCTGGGCCGTGCTGAGTTCAGCCCCTGGCCATTGGCCTTCATCCTTGGCTTCTCCTGCTGGGTGACCAGGGTGGGTGACCCGACCACTCTGTGCCTCAGTTTCCTTACCTGTCCAGTGGGTCTTGGGTGGGACTCAGCAGCCTTCCCTGAGCACCCGGGGCCAGTGTCTTCTCCTGTCCCTTCCTCCTCCAAATGTTGGGTCCCCACGGGACCTTGGGGAAAGGGTCATCTGGAGGCTGTGGCCTCCTGGTGCAGGCAGAGGGCAAGGGGAAGCAGACCACAGCTCTGTCTCCACACCCTGTACTGTCGCCAGGAGAACTGGAGCTCCAGACCCTGTCTTAGATGTGTGGTCGGTGTCGGCCTCACTTCACGAGGGGGCAGAGCAGGTGACTACCCATTTTGCAGGCGGGGAAACTGAGACCCAGTCATTCACAGCACCCCCAGGTCCCAACAGCAGAGCCAGACTCAGCCTCCAGACCCTCCTTCTGTGACTGATGAGTCGCCACAGTCAGGTTGGGGGGGCGGGATGGGGGGGTGAGGCAGAAGGCAGACCTAGGGGCTGCAGAGGGAGGGGAAGGCCAGGCTGAGACGGCGCAGCCCCCCCCACGGATCAGCCAGGCCAGGGCTCAGCACCCAGTCAGTGCTCCCTGGAGGCCACAGGCTTGCCCATACCTGGGGCACCAGCGGCTTCAAGGTCTCAGGGGAAGGCGACTGGGGGAGGGACCTGAGTGAGGAGTGGGCTGGAATGCCCTGAGGCACACGCAGTATGAGATTTGGGGCTCTCCCCTCAACTTGCCCTCACAGTTTCCAGTCTTGGGAAAGCACCTGAGTGATTGGGTGAGGGTGGGGCATGGATGGAGGTGAGGCTTCCCTGGGGAGGGGCCCAGGACTGGAGCACAGCCCCAGGGGCCACCCCATCTGCCTGGTTAAAGGACGAGGCCCTCTCCATGCTGCCTCTGCCACCTGAATGGCCTGGTTTGCAGAGATGGGAGACTTGTCTGAGGGAGTAGATGTCCAGGGGCGGGCACGTGGGGGCACCTGCCTGCTGGGGCCTTCCCTGGAGCTGACCATGCAGTGCAGTTTCCTCCTGGGTCTGTCTGGGCAGAAGATCGGCTTCCCCAAGGCCATCCTCTCCCTGGAGCCCTCCCCCCAACCCCGTGTGGAGCCCTTCAGGGTGTTGTGTTTGGCTGAGCCTGGGATGCAACTTTCAGGGGCCCAGATACTCAGACAGCGCCAGGCATCCCACCAGAGACCTGGCCTGCCCCAGGTCATGCTCAGCTCCTGCCCTCCCCTAGACATGGGCCTGGTTGCCAGCCGGAACTGCTCCACGACAGAAAACACTGTGTGTGGCTGCCGCCCGGGCCACTTCTGCGACCTCGAGGATGAGGGCCAATGTGCTGTATGCCGGCCTCATGCCACCAGCACGCCTGGGCCAGGGACTGTGGGAGGCAGGTGAGCCAGCAGGGGTCAGATACGAACCCCAAATCTACCCAGGTCCCCAGCCCGCATCCCACCTGGAGCCCTGGACATCATGGCCAGTCAGGGTCGCTGATGGGGCAGAATCTTGGCCAGCCCCAGGCTCACCCTTCCCAGCCCTGTCACCCGCAGCAGCAGAGGGAACATGGAGGGGTCGGGAGGGTGGGCAGGGGAAGACACCCTGGGTGCTCCCACCTCCTAGTTCTGGGCCTCCTGAGCCCCGGGCCTCCCTCTCAGACTCCAGGCAGGGAGCCTGAGCTTCAGGGCCTGACCTGGAGTCTGAAATGAGTGAGAGCCCAGCTCCTGTCAGACACTGGGCTGGGCAGCCTCCACCACATGTGGGGTGAGGGCAGAGAGGGGCCTGGCCTCGGGGAACCCTGATCTGTCCATGTCCAGGTGAGCTAGAGCCACTCTTCACCCAAGGCTCCCTTGGCCGGTTCAGCCCCTAGGTGCCCCTAACTCGGCAGAGCAGCCGGGTCAGGGAAGTCGGGGAATGCAGCCCCAGACTGAGGGAGAAGCCCACCCCTGGCCTGTGCCCTCTGCCTCTCCGCCTGCCCCTCCGTCACTCAGGTATTGAGAGAATGCTCCCCACTGAAACCTTCTCTCCCCACAGGTCTCTGCAGGAATGTCAGCCCTGGACCACGTAGGTGACCCCAGTGGTCTAAGCCCATGCCCTGGGGAGGGGTCCACATTGCTCCCGGGGAGACATGAGGCTGCAGGCTCCACCCTGGGCAGTACCACGGTCCAACGCCGACAACCAGGAGAGCCTCAGGGGTTCCCCAGGTCACCTGTCACATTCACCCAGGATGACGTGTCAGCAGGATTCGAGCTTTCTGGGGGCTGGGGTGGGGCTTTCCCAGGAGCAGACCTGAAGGATGCTGCCGCCAGGGCTCCCGTCCCCTGTGGTTGGCGGCGGGGCTGGGGGGGTGTCTCTGGCTGTCAGGGCCACGGGGCATTCCCTGGGCTTCTGGAGGCTACAAGGTGCGGTTCCCAAAGTGAAGATCCTCAATCCATCCCGGTCCCCAGCGTGGAGTCAGGACCTCAGAGTCTTAGAGAGGAGCCTGCAGTCTCTGGGTGGAGTGGGGCATGGGCAGGCGTGGCTGCCCAGGAGGGGTGCTGTCTTCTCTGCCCTCCTCGCCCTCCCCCCCGCTGTGTCCCATCGGTGGAGCTCTGGCTCTAACTGTTCCCTTCCTCCTCCCACTCTCCCTCCACCCTCTGACCTGCCTGTCCCCTGCCTTCCCCGCTCACCTGGCTCCTCCCTCCTCTCTCCTGGCTCCCTGCTTGCTGCCCTATCTCCCCTGCCGGCCCCTCCTACCCTCCCTCCGTGTCCCCATCATAGGGTTTGGAAAAGTCAGTGGACCTGAGGTCACATCCTGGAGCTGCCACCCTGTCGCCATGCCAGCTGAGCCTCCTGCCCACTGCCGTCCCTGCTCTCAGCCCCTGTGAACTGGGACCCGCGGTTGGGGTGGGCATCTGGCATGGCTACCCCCAGCTTCTCGCTCCCTCCTGCAGATGCAGCGGGCCCATGACTGCAGGAGGTCCTGGACCCTCCGGTGAGCTGCCTGCGTGGCTCATCACCATCATTGCTGTCGTATCCATCTTGGCCCCCGTCATCATAGTCTATACACTGTGGAAGAGGATGGCGTCACAGGGTGAGCAGCCCCTGTTTCCATCGGGTTCAAGCCCCACGTCACATCTCTGAGACCCTCAGCAGTCCTGTCCCTCCCAGCCTGGGAGACTGCCCCTGAGCTCTTCTGGGATCCATGTGGAGGAAGGCCCCGGCCAAGGAGCCCCTGACGCCCCTGGCCTCTCTCTCCACGGACCCCAAGGTCCCGTCTACCTCCAGTGCTGTGGAGGCACAGGACCGGGTAGACTGAACTCCGCTGGGAGGGCCTCTGGGTCCGCGGGCCAATGGCTGCACCACCATGGACAGGGCTGTGTCCCCACCAAGGAATGACTAAGGTCATTCCTTCCTTCATTCATTCCTTCCTCCAGTCATCTGCCCTGCCCTGGGCACCTGTGCTGCACCAGGCCTCCTGGGCCAGGGTCCACACTGGGGCTCCAGGGGGCCTGTGCACGGTCCACAGGGGGATGCACTAAACTGTGACATCCAAGGGGAGGTGGCTGACCACTCCAGCCTGGAGTCAGCAGACGCCCCTGTGCCCTTACCCCTGGGCTCTGGCAGGGAGGTAGTGGGCTCCCAGGCAGGTGGGGAGGCCCAGGCTGCCTTCCCACCTGACCCTTGGGTACCTGCTTGTAGGGTGGGCGGGACCCTCCTCTCCGAAGTGCTCACGTGAGGACGGTTGGATGAGGGGTCCTTATGTACTCAGGCATGGCCACTGGGGAGGGGAGGGCGCCCCCATCTTCTCACCTGTCCTGGGCCTCCTGGGCTAGAAGTCCCCAACACAGGTGACCTCACCTTGCCCCCAGAGGGCAAATGTCTGGGGGAAGATCACACAGGGAGCAGTGGGAGTGTGTCCCCCATGGCCGTGGCCTGTGCCCCAATCTGACGTGAGGCCCCTCCCCTGACACGTGTGTCTGTCTTGCAGGCGACATGGTCGTGGAGACCACCTCCGTCCAGGTATGGGTCCTCTCCCGCCCTCTGCCCTCCCCCTAGGGTCAATGTTTTGGGGTGTGCAGTGGGCCCGGGTCTTCAAGGGTCCTGAGGCCTGAGGCCCGAGGTGCCGCCACGCCGTCGGGATAGAGTACTGGGCCCAAATTCACAACAGTGAGATGACGTGAGCCCTCGAGGCCCGTGGGGCGACTGGGAAGACGGGTCCTCAGGCTGCCTGTGCCCGGCAGCAGAAGAGGTGTAAAGCAGAGGACGAGGCCGTGGTCCTGGAGGCCCTGCAGGCCCGGCCGGCCGTCACC